CCACACTGCCCAGAGTGCTCCCAGACCCGATCCAGATGGACCTGGTGCCTCCTGGCTCACACTCTGCCTGGCAGCCTGAGCCCCTCTCCCTGGCACAACCAGACCTGGGCAGGACTCTGAGAAGCTCCCCACAGTTCCCCTGTCAGTTTGGAACCGAGCAGACCCATCCTGCAGCCCTGAGGGGGTTGTGCCTTTCCTGGGAGCCACGGGAGCCATGAGGAGCAGCGACACTGCACCCCGTGCCCTTCCTGGCTGTCAAACCACTCTCGCTGGGAAGCTCTGGGTGCTGCGTGCCCGTGCCCAGGAGTTTTTCCTCTCAGCTGTCACTCTGTGAGCTCTACAAAGCAGCACAAGCTTGACCTTGACTCTCGGTTAAGCCCTGGCTCTGCTCTGCTCCTGTCAAGCTGACGGTAAGTCCCTCCTGGAGCCGCTGTCCCTGTCCCAGGCAGCTGACGGAGCCCTGGCGGGGGCTGGCCGGGTGCCAGGCAGACACTCACTGTTACAGGGCACCTCGTCCGAGTTGTCCCCGCAGTTGTCCACGCCGTCACACCAGTAGCGACTGGCGACGCAGCGCCCGTTCATGCAGTGCAGGTACCCCTTCTTGCACTTGCGGCTGCCTGCCGGGGAGGAAGAGGAGGAAGACGAAGAGGAGGAGGTGAGTAGAAGGAGGGCAAGCACCCCTGAGGGTCTCGGACCCTTGGGGACCTTTCAGCAGGGGAAGAAACCATAGAGCAGGATCTGGGAAGCTGCTCCCTCGTGCAGAAGGATGAGGGGTGGTGTCTGAGGGTGCTGCAGACCCCACTGGCTCAGCTCCAGGTGCTCTCCAGTCTGTCCCCAGCACTGGAAAAGGTCCAGAGACCTCAAAGCCTGGCTGGGTGCAGCTCTGGGAGGGCAGGAGGGACTGCGAGCACGTGAGGGATGGAAGGACACCCTGGAGTCCTGGTTCCCTTTGCTGAGCAGCCCTGGCAGTGTCCAAGGCCAGGCTGGACAGGGCTTGGAGCAACCTGGGCTAGTGGAAGGTGTCCCTGCCCATGGCAGGGTGTGAAATGAGATGAGCTTTAAGGTCCCTCCCAAGCCAAACCGTTCCATGATTCCACGAACACAGGAAAAAAGATTGATTTACTGGAGTGCCGCGAACCCTGCCTTTGTCAACTTCCATCCCCTTAAGATTTTGCCTCCATCCTCTTTAAGTTTTAATGTCAAATTTGAAGAGGTTCTAGGACTAATTAACGAGAAACAGACCTTGCAAGGCTGTGGGGAGGCACCTGCCTCGTGGGGTTGCCTTAAAGGGGAAGCCCCTGAGTTTGGTCCCTTCCAACCCAAAGCGTTCCACGATTCTCTGAGTGGAGCTGGCAGCTGGGGCAGGGTGTCTGGGGGTGCTGGGGTGCGTGTGTGGGTGAGCAAGGCAGCAAGAGGAGGAACCTTACTGCAGTAGGACTGCTTCTCGTCCGACTTGTCCTTGCAGTGCACGACGCCGTCGCAGGTGCGGCTGAAGTCGATGCAGTCGCCGTTCCCGCACTCAAACTCGTCCACGTTGCAGGTGGAATTCACAGCTGGAATACACAGCACAGGAATGTCAGCTCTGCCAGGCTGAGACCAGCCTCACCCCTTCCTTTCCTCACCCCCCTCACCTTTGCAGGTCAGGTCCTCCTGCAGGACCCGCTCCCCGCGGCACGAGCAGTTGACGTGGCCCTTGGGGGTGAGCAGACACAGGTCCTGGCAGCCGCCGTTGTTCACCCGGCATGGGGACAGCTCGCCTAGGACAGAGGGACAGCGGTCACACCAGGGATGGACACAGCAGCCCCTGCTCCTCGTCCTCCCTGCTGGGCCAAAAAGTAGGGATCCCTCTCCAGGCTCTCCCCATGGGGCTATGGAGGGTGTAGGGGGCTGGAGGCACCCGATCCCCCCAGATTTCACAAGGAGATGCCCTGGGAAGAGCAGGGACAGAGGAAATCCTCTCTGTCATCAGCCTGCACTGGGTTTGGAGATGGACAACTCTGGTGTGAGAGCCACGAGGGAGCAACATGCGGGGAAGGACAATGGGATGATTCCCAAAGGGCCAGGAAGGACAGGGGGGTGGATTCCTGAAGGGCCAGAATGGACAGAGAGGTGACTTTCCAAAGAGCCACGAAAGGATGGTGGGATGGGCTCCAAAGGACTGGGAAGGATGGTGGGATGGATTCCCAAAAGGCTGGGAAGGACAGTGGGATGGATTCCCGAAGTGCCAGGAAGGAAGGTGGGATGGGTTCCCAAAGGATCATGAAGGAAGGTGGGATGGGTTCCTGAAGGACCAGGAAGGAAGGTGGGATGGGTTCCTGAAGGACCATGAAGGAAGGTGGGATGGGTTCCCAAAGGACCATGAAGGAAGGTGGGATGGGTTCCTGAAGGACCATGAAGGAAGGTGGGATGGGTTCCTGAAGGATCATGAAGGAAGGTGGGATGGGTTCCTGAAGGACCATGATGGAAGGTGGGATTGGTTCCTGAAGGACCAGGAAGGAAGGTGCATGAAGGAAGGTGGGATGGGTTCCTGAAGTGCCAGGAAGGAAGGTGGGATGGGTTCCTGAAGGACCATGAAGGAAGGTGGGATGGGTTCCTGAAGGACCAGGAAGGAAGGTGGGATGAGCTCCCCTCCCCAGGCCTGCTGCCAGGGTGAGGGGCAGAGGGCAGGGACCCTGCAGTGACACCAGAGAGTCCTCACAGCTGTCGGTGTCGTTGGCCACGGCGATGATGCCCATGGGCTGCTGGGGGATGTCCACACGCAGCAGTTTCATGTCGGTGCCCACGTATTTGTTGGCGCGTTGCACGGCCCGGCGCACCCAGTCCGTCCAGAAGATGTAATCCCCGTACACGGCCAGGCCAAAGGGGTGCACAGGCTCCGACTTCAGGATCACCTGAGGGGCACGGAATCATGGAATGTGTTGGGCTGGAAAGGATCCTCAAACTCATCCAGTTCCCACATCCCTGCCATGGGTGGGTACATCTTCCAGGCTTGCTCCAAGCCCCACCAACCTGTCCATGGACACTTCACAGAATCCCTGAGGTCGGAAAAGATCTCCAAGATCAAATCCAAGCTGTGACCAACCCCCTCTAGAGCACTCAGTGCCAGGTCCAGCAGTTCCTTGGACACCTCCAGGGATGGTGACTCCACCACCAACCTGGGCAGCCCCTTCCAATGTCTGACAACCCTTTCCATAAAGAAATTCCTTCTCCTGTCCAACCTGAACCTCCTCTGCTGTAGCTTGAAGCCATGGCCTCACTTCTCAGGGACAAACTGGGAGCAGGAGGAACCCGCTGTGGGACGCAGCCCCCCCAAACACAGAGCGGGATCCTTGACCTCTCCAGCCCCAGGAACAGCTCTGCCTCCCTCTGACCACACTCCAGCCCCAGTCTGGACACTCTCCTCCCCATCTCTGAGCCTCAGACTCACATGGCGATTGGAGCCGTCGTATTCGCAGCGCTCGATCTTGTCCAGGGTGGCATCAGAGAAGTAAATCTTCTCAGCCTTGTGGTCAATGGCCAACCCGTTGGGCGTCCGTATGTCCTGGTCGATGATGATGAGGACGTTGGCGCCAGAGAGGGTGGCTCGCATGATGCTGGGGTGCTGCTCGTTCCAGTTGGTCCAGAACATCAGGCTGGGAGAGAGGGAAGGACACACGACGCCTTTGGAGCCCCAGCTCAGCCACATCCAGGCTGGCTCAGCCCATCCCTCCACGGCTGGGGGGCTTCCAGAGACTGGGGGATGTGTGGGACGTCATTCCCACGTAAAAAGAGTGGGGAGGGGGTGAATGAGGCTGCTTCAGCCTGCTGGGAAACATGGCACCCCATGGATGGGGATGGGACAGGGGGTCTGGAGCTGCTTTGGGGCGCTGAAGGATCTGTGGGGAGTGGGTTTTTCCTCCCTGGGGGTCCAATCCTCTCTGTGCTGAGATCCAGAGCTTCCTCCCCGCCATGTCCACTGGGACCATGTGGATCCCTGGTGGGGCTGGCTGGAGCCTCAGTGTCCACTCACTTCTGGCACTCGTCCAGCACGAAGGCCCGGGGGTGGTCGTCCCCTGACATGGTGATCACGGTCTCCCTCTCGAAGGCCCCGACGCGGCTCTGGTCCACGGTGTGGCGGGTGATGGTGGAGGTGGTGTAGCTGGTCCAGTACAGCGTGTCCCAGCCGCGGTGGTACGCCAGCCCCTCCACAGAGCCCACGTCTGAGGGGACAGTAAAGGTCACAGCCGGCCCCTGCAAGGCTGTGCCTCACCCTGCACAGCCCTGACACTGAGGATGTTTTTGCTTTTAATTACAGCCCAAAAATCCCTCGGAGACTTTGGCTGCTGGGAAGGGACTCAGCAGGGCTGGGGGCTGTGCTCAGGGTGGGGAGCAGAGACCCCTGAGACTCTGGAGTCTTGTGGGTAGAGCTCTGTTGGAATGACCCACAAGAAGGCTGAGGGATGCACACCTACAGTGCACCAAGGACCTGAATTTGGCTCCCAAACTCCACACCAGCCAGAGATTGCTCTGGGTCCACAGCAGCAGCACTGGGAAGGGAAAGGTTTCCCTCTGCCCGGGGACAGCTGAGCCCCTGGGGCACAAAGTGACAAAGCAAAGCCTGGTGGGGACCAGGGAGCCTTTCCCAGCTGGGAACTTGAACTGTGCACCCATCCTCCCTCCCTCATTAACGCTCAGCAAAGGGTTTAATGAGGCGGCTGTGAGAGCTGGACTGTGCTCTCCCCTCCCAGGGATACAGCAGCGTGAGTGCTGCTGTGAATTCCCTCATTAGCAGCACGGGGAGCTCCTGAAGCAGCAACTGCAGTTCTTTGAAGCTGCTGCAGGTGCCAATAAACCCAACCAGGTGCAAGGTGAGGCCTGGAGGTGAGGCCAGGGCTGGGCACCCCGAGGGTCAGGGCCGAGGGCGCTGAGTGTGAGCACAGAGCCGACCTCAACTTTGCTGCAGCGCCTGTTTCTAGAGTCCAAGCCTCGTGACACGCTCTCCGTGCCAGAACAAGCTCTGCAGGCTGCTCCCAGTGCCATGCCCGCTTCCAGAGGCTCCTCAGAAACCTCACAGCTCAGCCTGGATCCACTGCCCCTCCAAACGCCTCCAAACCCACCAAAACCCCTTGGGCACCAACAGAGGGACTGCAGGAGGAGGTGGTGGGGAGAGAGACAGGTCTGAGGGCAGGCACAGAAGGGAGAAGCACACAGCACTCACTCTCCACGATGGTCTTGCGGCCCGTGCCGTCGTCGTTGATCTGCTGGATGTTGCCGAAGTGGATGTCGCTGTAGAAGATGCGGTTGCTGCCCTTGGAGCCGTAGCGGTAATCGAAGGCCAGGGCGATGACGTTCTTCATGTGCTCCGCGTCCTCGAAGGGCTTGATGGGCGCGTTGAGGTTGTTCTCGTCCGAGAGGTGGATGCTCTTGAGGATGGTGCGCTCCGAGTAGAGCAGGTACCCGTCGTAGTCCCGGCAGCTCACGCCATCCTCCGACAGCATCCCGTGGGCGCAGGCGCACGTCCTCTGCCCGCCGCCGCGGAACAGGCACAGCTGCTGGCAGCCCCCGTTGTTCTGGGCACAGATGTTGGTGCCTGGTGGGGGGACAGGGGGGATTGGGTGAGGATGCACCCACTTGGCTCTCAGCACTCCCGGAGGAAGGAACGGGCTCGAAGCGCGGCTCCGATAGGGACAGAGTGATCTGTTTGTTTCCATCCCCGTTCCCCACACGAGGAGGTGCCCCCCATGCTCAGACCTACCCTTCTGCCGGGCCCGGTTGAAGACTTTGATGTCCTTGAGCTGCACGCCGATCCCGGTCCGCAGCGACACCGACTCGGTGGCATTGTCCTTGTTGCCTCTTTTGATGGAGCCGTTGGCGTGAGTCCTGAAGGAGGACGGAGTCACCGAGTGACCAGCACAGGATCCTTCCCCACCACGGCACCCACCAGCTCCCCCACACCCTCCACACAGCCCCCAGCCCCCTTGGCACTGCACCTATCGCTCCAGTAGATGTATTCCTCGAAGACCGACACGGAGAACATGTCCATGTTGTTGCTGGACAGGACGACCTCCCGGTTCTCGCCCGTCTCCAGGTCGATCCGTTCGATCTTGTCTGTCCGGGCATCACACCAGTACAGCTTCCCATCCTGTGGGGATGAGAGAACATCCCAGCTGCTGTGGGGGCAGCACTCCCCTCAGCACCTCTGGCAGGATGTCCTGGGCTTCACACCACACTGGACAACCCTCATGAGACTCTGAAACCCCAAGGAGGGCAACCATGCCCCCACCAGCAGGCCACAGGGACCCTTGGGAGCGGTCCCCACCCTCCCAGATGCCAAGTGTACCTCATAATCCACAGAAATCCCGTTGGGCCAACTGATGCTGACGTTGACCAGCACCATCCGCTCGGTGCCATCCAGGCGCGAGCGCTCGATGCGCGGGTACTGCCCCCACTCTGTCCAGAACAGGTACCTGAGGGGACAGCAGGGATGTCACCACAGGGATGTCACCACAGGGATGTCACCAGGAGCAGCACTGGCCATTCCAGTAAAGGACAGACACCACCCCATTCATCCCCCCACACTGGGGCCTCAGTCCCTGCCCACTCACATTCCCTGCATCTCCATCCCTCCCCAGATCCAAACACCTCTGCTCTCCCTGGGGCTCTGTCCAAAGCTGGAGGTGCTCTGAGGAAGCTCCACTAGGATTTTCTGAGGTGCTGGCACCCACCAGGTCCCAGAGATTCCCAGGGTTTCAGCCCATCAGTGAAAGGAGGCTAAATCCAGGGCTTGGACTCCTTGGTGTGGCAGGAGACCTGTGAGCCCCTTCCTGCTGTGTGCTCACACACGGCTCTGCCAGGAGGTGTGGGGCTCTGGCCCTGTGCCCACAGGTGATGCCCGTCTCTGGGGCCTGTCTCACCCCTTCTCAGGATGGACCGTGATGGCCCGTGGCTTGTCCAGCCCCTGTGAGATGACCACGTAGCGGAAGGAGCCGTTCAGCCTGGCCACCTCGATGACATCGAAGCCCTGGTCCGTCCAGTAGATGTTTCCTGCAAGAGGGGACGGTGAACCCCCACACAAGCCCCGCTGCCCCCGCTGCCCCCGGCTCCAGAGCCCCATCCCACCAGCAATCCAGTCCACGGCGATGCCCTCCACTCGCCCAATGCCGTTGGTCACCACGTCCTCACGCCACGTCTGGTCCCGCTTGGCTCGACTGATGGTGCTCAGGCCCATGTCCACCCAGTAAATCGTGTCGTTCTCTGAGAGGGGCAAGGAGGGGATGAGTCAGTGACCACCTCTGGTCAGTCCAGAACGGTAAAAACCTGAACCCAGGGGTCTCGAAATGTTCCCTGACCCAGTGCTGCCGAGGGGGCGTTCCAGGGCAAAGCGCTGCCAAAGGAGGGGTCTGGTGATGGTCCCCTCATGCTCCCTGTCCCCTGTCCTGTTCCCAGCACCCCCATCCTGTTCCCAGCCCTGCATCACCTGCATGGAAGTCGATTCCCACAGCCAGGGAGGTTCCTGACACCGGCACGAGAGCGTCGGACTTGTCATTGGGGTCCAGGGGAATGCCCCGGATTCCCTCGTGCACCGAGTACAGGAGGAAGGAGCCAACACCTGTGACAGAGGTGCAGGGACAGTCAGACACGTCCCAAAACCCGCAGGCTGTGCCTCCACCATGGAAAACTGTGACAGGGGAGGAGCATGGGCCTGGCAGGGCTCTGCAGGCCCAGCACAGACCTCCCTGGGGGCTGCAGCCCCTGGCACAGCCCGTTCCAGGCTCCTGCCCTGCTCCAGGGGGGCACGAGCGAGGCCCCTTCCCACCACCCACCACCCCCACCCCGTGCTGGCAAAGGCTCTGTGGCACATCTAGGTCAGGGCAGCACTTGTTATTCAGCCCCTGTCCTGACCCAGATGGTGCAGAGCTCTGCCAACCCCCCCAAAACCAGCCGGAACACTTTGCACACAAACAGCCTTTGAGAGGCCCTGGCAGCGCCCGGGGGGACGGCGGCGAACGCGGTGGGGACAGGGGATCTGCAGAGCGAGGGCTGTGCCTGGCCCTGCTCCTGCTGAGCCAAACCTGCTGCCCACAGCCAGGATCCCACCTCCCCCTGGGGAGGTCCCGCTGTGCTGTCCCACTCCCCTCCTCCAGTGACGCCCTCGGTGGCCAGGCAGTGCCCCCACGCTCATCAGGGACAGCCCATGCGAGGGTCTTGCTGCCACCTGAGCCCTCCAAGCCCCCCAAGCCCCGCTGGTCCCCAGCGTTCCCCCGCAGTGACATGGGACACAGAGCAGTGGGGAGAGGTCACCAGCTGGGGTGGCCACGGGCACGGCCAGGGTGGCCACGGGGTCTGGCTGTGCCGAGGGGTGGCTCAGGGAGGGGACAGGGACAAGCACACACCTTCACAGGACTGCTGCCCGCTCTTGAGGCTGTAGCCCGCGGTGCACATGCAGGAGCGGGAGGTCTCCGAGGTGGGGAGGCACAGCTGCGAGCAGTCCCCGTTGTTTTGGCTGCAGGGGTTGGTCCCAGCTGTGGCAGAGAAAAGGGGGTGAGGGGCTCTGGGGACCAGGGTGCACCCACCAGGGCTTGGGCAGCCAGGGCAGCACCCACACGAGGCGTGGCTGCCCTGCACCAGACTTGGCACGAGGGCAAGGACCAGGCCATCAGGGATGGAGCCACCTGGCCACCACAGAGACGCCGAGCAGCTGCCCAGCCCCACGGGGTGTCTGTGGGACCCCACACTGACCTTGCTGGATGCTCTCATCGTACACCTTCATGTGCATCACCAGCGTGGTGCTGTTGCGCAGCACCGTCACCTCCGTCCCGTCCTTCTTGTTGCAGGTGCCCATCCTCTCGGAGGCCTGGTCAGCCCACCACAGCTTGTCCCCTGCGAGGAGAAGGCAGCAGCGTGTGGCAGCGTTCTCCACCCCATCCTGCCCCAGCTGAGGTGGGAGAGGTGGGCAGGAGAGTTTGGGAAGGGCCAGGAGATGGGGAAAGGTGTCCCCCTCACCCATGATGGCCAGGGCGGTGGCTTTGCTCAGCTGGCTCCGCACGGACTCGATCACCTCCAGGTTGCTGCCATCCAGGTCACACCTGTTGATGGTGCCATTGCCAGAGCTGATCCAGTACAGTTTGCTCTCTGGGTAATCGATGGCCAGGCCTGGAGAGGACGGGAATGTCACCACGCTGGTGGCACACAGGGACCGGCACAGAGCAGGAGGTGGGATGGTATGGGATAATGGGATGGGATAATGGGATGGGATGATGGGATGGGATGGGATGGGATGGAGAGAGTGGGCAGGTATGGTCATGGTGACCCAGCACAGGACAGCTGTCACCCCCCCCAAGGAACCAGAGTGGGGACTCGAGGCTCTGCAGGAGCTCAAGGTGAGGTGGGGGATCCCAGGTGCCATGGAGGGGTCCGTACCAACAGGTCCCTTCTGGTTGGTGAAGAGCAGCGTGCGGTTGCTGCCGTCCATGTTGGCCACACTGATGTTGTCCCCATCTGTCCAGTAGAGCTTCCTGCAAGGTGAGGGGACAATGGGTGAGGGACCACGGTGTCAGCATCCCCCTGCACCCTCCCAACCTTGCAGAGCCCCTTACCTGCTCATGCCACAGCCCCACAGCCCCTCGTCCCACCAAGGGGGACCTTGGGGCGGCCAAAGCCCCGTGCACACCTGGACTGGCACACCCTGGTGGGTGCACACTTATCACAGCTCCCCTTTGCACACGCGTGTACGGACACACAGCACAGCCCCACGTGCTGTGACACTGCTCCTACACGCTGACACGCAGGGACAGGCCCCGATCTCTCCCCTGTCACACACATGCACAGTCACACACACACCCGTGCCTGCACGCACACCTCCTTCCCGTCAGCACTCACCCCCGCAGCGGGTGCACCACCAGGCAGTGGGGCTTGTCCAGCCCCTGGATCACGGCGTTCTTGAAGGAGCCGTCCAGCCTGGCCACGTTGATCTGCTTCTTGTTGGCGTCGTAGCTGGTCCAGAAGAGGTTTCTGGAAACCCAATCCACGGAGAGGCCGTGAGCGTTGGGCAGGTCTGCAAGGGAACGGAGATGGGAGCTCGTCAGCTGTGAGGACGGGGCTACCATGAAGCTCAGATGAAGAGGAAGGGCCAATCTCTGAGAGCTGAAGGCTCTGGAGGGCTGGGGGTCCCAGCTGTGGGAGCAACGATCCCCCTCACCAACCTGCAGAGACGACGGTCTCCACGCCGGTGCCGTTGATGAAGGCTCTCTTGATGGTCTGGGTGCGGACATCTGACCAGTAAATCCGCTGCTCCAGAGCGTCGTAGTCCACCACGGTGACGTTGTCGATGTCGGGCACGGTGAAGGAGATGATGTAGTTGTAGTAGGGGTTGTCGATGTCCACGCCCCGGATCTCCATCTGCCGCGCGTACAGCAGGAACTTCTTAAACTCTGGGAGGAGAAGAAGGGCAGCGGTGGGATCCGGCTCCGGAGCAGCTGCTCATCCCCCCGGCTCCCCAGGCAGACCCCTACCATAGCAGGTGGTGTTGTCCTTGTCCAGCTTCATGAGGTGGGGGCAGGCACAGGACAAGGTGCGGTTGTAGTTGATGAGGCAGAGGTGGGAACACGGCCCTTTGCCGCCGTTGGCTTCGCAGGGATTAGGAGCTGCAAAGGGGACAGGACTCAGCGACATCCCAGCCCTTGGGGACACCCACCCAGGCAGCCCCAAGAGCTGCAGCCCCCTCAGACCCTGCCTGCCCCATGGAGCATCACCCTCATCGCCTGATGGGGCAAAGGGGCAGCCACAGGGATGAGAGCAGCATCCACCTGCTGCTCCGAGTGGGTGTGGGTGCAGACCGAGTGCCAGTGCCACCCCTCGTGGTGCCCGCAGCCTGTCCCCGCAGCTGCACTCACCCAGGGGCTGCCGGGAGGGGTGATACACCTGCAGGTCAAAGGGCTGCGTGTTGGTCCTCTGAACCACGGTCACGTTGTGCCCCGTCCACTTGTTGGCCTTGGCCAAGGTGTTGGTACGCCAGTCGGTCCAGTACACCTCCCCCCCGTACAGGGTGACAGCGAAGGGGTGGGACAGGTACTCGTGTCCCCGCAGCACCTCAATGTGCCCCGTCCCATCGTACAGGGCTGAGTAGATGGCATCCGACCTGTGCCGGGGGGAGATGAGGGTGAGGGAGGTGGGGAGGGGGCACCACGGGGTCTTTAACCCAATAGCAACAACCAGCAGGGTCCAAGCAGCTGTGGGACAGCTGCTGATTTACACCAGGACCCACGGAGGAGAAAAGCCAGAGCAAGGTTGGCACGTGCCAGCAGACCCCAGAGCGTGAAGGCTTCTCGCTCCCAGCCCAGCACAACGCTGGAGCACGGGGAAGATCCAGAGTGGGAGGGACAGAGAGGGGGAGACACAGGGAGGTGTCCTGGCCCTACCTGGCATCAATCCAGAGGATCCGCTTCTCCAGGTAGTCAACAGTGAGCCCGTTGGGCCATCCCCCCGAGCCCGTCTCCTTGTGGATGGTGCGTCGGCCTGCGCCGCTCATGGAGGCGGCCTCGATGCGGGGCAGGCTGGCGTCCCAGTCCGTCCAGAACAGGATCCTGCCAGGAG